CCCCAAAACCCCAAAACCCCAAAACCCCATTATTAAGAAATATCTAATTTAATCAAGAATCTTAAATATAAATAAAATAATCATTATAATACTAGCTAATAGAGTTCATGAGGATGAGGATCTTTTTTATTCACAAGAGTGTTCCAGCATCATCTTTTCTACCTTTTCCAAAAATATCTTCAGAGGTCTCGGAATCTGTCTACTACTTTTGCTTCTTATCAAAATCTATATTCGACTTTTCGTTTTTATTTTACTGCTCATCATTCTTTTTATTAATTTTCTCCTCATCCTTATTCGATTGATTCTTTTATTACTAAGACTAATTGTGTTGTTAAAATCTTTGATTCTGATCTCTGGAGCCTTCCTCACCTATTGATTGCTTGAAGTTTTCTCTTTGGTTCCATTATTTTGGAACTACAATCTCTTCAACCTCAAGTATAGTTCTGTTACGGTCAAACATCTTATAGTAGTTTAAATCGGTGTCTATAAAATTAAAATATTTGTTATATCAAAATAGTGCAATAAGACAAAATAAAGAAACTTAAGAAGAAATACTTACAAAAATCGTATTCATTATATCTATCTAAGTCGTCGGTGTATTTTTGACTTGAGTCAATCCTACTCTATTCTTGATTGTAAGTCTTCTTTGGTGTCTCAGATTAATTTATATCCATAGACTTTTTCTCGATGGGTTTATGCAATTCAAATGATTTTTTGTTACTTTCATCGGAATCCTGACTTTTTTTATTTTATTTATCATCTTCTCTTTGATATTTGCTTCTTTCATAAGGAGTTCCAAACCCAAGTTTTTAATTGTCCTTCTCTCTTGAGAAAATTGGAATGTCTCTTGAATGTTATGAGAGCATTCTATTCTAAACTAAGACTAGATTAAATTTATTCAACTCTTTTAAGCATTTATTGCTGTTAAGTGTAAGTATTTTAGTAAGATTCTTTAGCATTGAAATTATTCGAGCTTTCTTGTAATTTATTTGTTCTTAATTAATTAATGATTCCTTCTATTCACTTATATAATTGTAAGGTGGGGTTTTGGGGTTTTGGGG